GCCCTTCAAAAGATTCTGAGTGTAACAAATGCAAGATGAAAGGTCATTGGGCAAGAGTATGCCGAAGGAAAAGTTTGACTGGTATTGCAAGTTCAGACAACAATTTTCCAAGCCTAGCATGACTAGGTGTTTCTGACATAACAAATGTCTCGTGTAAAATTAACAATTCTCCTCTCAAAGCTATGGTTGATTCTGGCAGCTGCTCAACATTCATCAATAAGAAGGCTGTAGAAAAACTGAAATTAATTGTTTCACCAACTTCAAAAATGTGTTTCTCTGGTTGATCCAAGTTGCAAAGCACAAGTAATTGGAGAAGTATTGTGGATTTGACATTGGACTCTCATTTATATTCAGGTGTGGTGATTGTAGTATTAGATAGCTTGTTTGTCGATGTCATTATAGGCAAAGATAACTCTGAAATTCAATGGCTCTAAGGATGAATTGATTGTAGGAGCAGTCAAATCCAATGAACCCTTTCCTGCTATGAACGTTGCTCCATTACCTTTATTTACAAATATAAGCAGCAGTATCAAGCTCATTGCAACTAAATCCTGGTGGTATTCAGTAGCTGATTCCAGATTTATAACTGAGGAAGTGACTCACCTACTCAAAGAAGGAATTATTGAACCATCTGTTTCTCCATGGCGAGATCAGCTTTTAGCTGTCTCTGATGACAATCATAAACGTTTGGCTGTAGACTACAGCGATACAATAAATCTGTACACTGAATTGGATGCTTATTCAATGCCCAATATTACAGATATGATAAACAACATCACACAGTACAAATATTTCTCAACTCTGGATTTAAAAAGTGCATATCACCAATTACCAATTCAAGATAGTGACAAAAAGTATACAACTTTCGAAGCACAAGGAAAACTTTACCAGTTTAAACGTCTTATTTGGCGTCACCAATGGTGTTAGTGCATTTCAAAGGAAAATTGATAAAATAATTCAGTGAGAGAAACTCTCCGACTCATTCGCATACGTTGACAATATCACTATATGCGGAACAACGAAAGAGGAGCACGATAAAAATCTTCAAGCCTTCTATGATACTGTTAGAAAGTACAATATTACATTTAATCACCAAATAGCTTTTCAGAAAAAAATCTTGTTTTGAATCGTAATTCTGAACTTCCACTTCCGGAACACGTATTGAAGACTTTTCAATCTTTAAAAAATGTTATCAAAGATGCCAGACTCGTTGCAATTGATCAAAATAAAGATTTTCAGGTGGAAACTTTTGTCTTGCTGCTACTCTTAGTCAGGATGGTTGTCTCGTTGCATTCTTCTCGCGCACGCTCAATAAAAGTGAATGTCATCATCATGCGGTTTGGAAGGAAGCAGCAGTAATTGTTGAAGCATTGCGCCACTGGAGATACCTACTTCTTGGACGAAAATTAATGGTGGTGACACATCAGAAAAGTATTCGGCTTATGTATGACAAAAATAAAAAACAACAAGATTGCTCGGTGGTGAATCGAATTGTCGCAATTAAAATACAATATAAGATATCGACCTGGGAAAGAAAATTCTTTGGCTGATACATTTTCAAGAATAGCTGTAGTAAATCATCCTCTCTCTCTACACTCAGAGAATTGCATGGGAACCTCTGCCATCCAGGAATGACACGTCTAAATCATTTTGTTAGAACTCGGAATTTGCCTTTCAGTCATGAACAGGTTAATGTCGTCACTGATTCATGCAGTTTCTGTCAATACCTCAAGCAAAAATTCATAAAAGGTGAGCAAGGTGTGCGACCAATTTTGCCTTTTCAGAGACTCAATGTCAATTTTAAGGGTCCATTACCAACATCCGCAAATGGCAACAGGTAATTGTTGACCATAATAGATGAGTATACAAGATTTCCTTTTGCCTTTGCTTGCCGAGATATGAGTACAAAACCAGTAATCCAGTGCTATAACAACCCGTTCTCTATATTTGACATGCCTGATATGATCCATTCTGATGGAGCTAATGATTTTATGTCTTCAGATATGAAACAGTACTTGTAGGGTAAATGAGTGGCTACCTCAAATACAAGTCGATATAACCCACGAGGCAATGGGTAGGTGGAACGGCTGTACGGAACGCTATGGAAGGCCATTGAAGTGACTTTGCACTCAAGGAAAATGAAGCAGTCAGAATGGGAATTGGTTTTGCCAGATGCCTTACACTCCATTAGATCGTTGCTTTGTACTGCTAATAACACTGCACCACATGAAAGGCTATTTAATTTTAGTAGAAAAGCAACCTTAGGAAAATCCATCCCCTCATGGCTAGTCCCGGGTCTAGTTAAAACTCATGCTCGTAAAAGTATAATCCTCCAGTGACTCCTGCTACTTTGCTACGTCCCAATTCCCAGTATGCCCTTATAAAACTACCTAGTAGCGTGGAGGCCATTGCGAGTTTGCGAGAAGTTGCGCCCTTTGAACCTCCAATCGAAGAAACTCATGTACTTGATTTAGGTGAAAAGGCGGGATACAATGAGTCAGACAGCGAAATGAATCCAAGTAGTACACCAAAATCATCATAAGCTTGCGCCAGCCATTTCGAATCAACTGGAAATGATGGAACTACTAGCCCTTCTAAACAAATTAGAGACTGTGAAATTGCACCACGATGATCAGAACGTGAAAAGAAAACTCCTGCTCATTTCAAATATTATGTGTTGCAACATAACAAGGAATCTTTGAAGGAAGGGAAAGTGCTTTATTGTTATTATTTAGTTGTGCCTGTAGTGATTACTACTATGTTTGCCACGCCTACATTTTTCTCAACTGTGATTGGTCAAATAATAAATAATAAATATCACTGGACAATTTACTGATCGCATTCACCACACTGAATTTTTCCTACCATTAATTCATAAACATGCTTTTGTTATAAAATCACCGATTGGTTAATTTTTCATCCATTCAGATATTTTTCGTGTTCTTTCAAAATTTATCCCGCGTTCGTGCTGGGAGCCACCGATAGTAATATAAGTTCGGATTCATTCCCAAATCAACCAGTAGAGTTGAAGACAGTAGAACTCAACTACTCACACGCGTCTACACAGATTATTCATTCTACTCACTCCACACGTACAGACACAGAACTTGAATATCATTCACCATCATCTTTTTGTGAACAAGCCAAGATGCAACACCTTTGTTAGTTATTCAAATTATACAATTGAACTTTCTGTATGTTTTTCTAAATACACATTCTATTTTAACACAGAACACTGAACATTATATTCAGAAAACTTGCGTATTTAAATATCACCATATTCAACTAACAGGTAAAGGGAAACTAGTTTTTTCTCCTCATTCACACATTACAAAAATTACCTTGTATTTGTTGTTGATTTTAATATATGTTTTGTTGTTGATTTTAATATATATTTTATCGTTGAAACACAAATCGGTTTTCCATTGTTTTTCCTTAATTTTAAAAAATGTATAAATGTTAAATGCTCTTCAACACGCAGCCACATTAATCTTTTCAACAAGACACCATTTACATTGGTAACACCAGCACTTAAGAAAGCAGCATTTACATTGCCTTTACTTCCCGTTATTAAGTAATTCCACGTGTTTCCTCCCTTTGTTTTAGTTGATTCCGGTTTTAGCTGTATAGATAAAATCATGATCCGTTTGCAATCCTTGGTGGAAGCCTTAACTCGCGGCAAAAATCGCTACGTCTCTATTGACAGGTTGAAGTACTTTTTCAGCCAATCTCATCCTAACTGATAACTAATTATATAACTAAATCTGTCCCTTTTTTTTTGGTTTTCTACCAACAGAACTCAGATAAAATATTTCCTAAACAGGCACTTTAATTCCAGTCAAAGTGAAGTAACTCCTATTGATTATTGTTTGAACCTGTATATCATTGACATGCATAAAAATATGAACATAATTTCGCACAACTTAAAAATATTCAGTGAGTACTCCTTTCTATCTGTGCGCACGACTAATTTTCCGGAATATAAATATTCTTTTAGTTAAACCAGCACTGTTATAAATTCAGCTCCTATTGATTATGTTCTTCATGTTGTTTCTTTTGCTTGCTTACATATGTGTAAAAAAAATGTACAGGTTGATTTAGGCCGTCAATACCGCTACAAACATTTGATTTTTATTTTTTTATGGTCTTGTGTACGCTCCAGAAGCGTGTGTTTATTTATTGGCGGGGGTTGTTTTTTATTGGCTATTTATTTTTATTAAATTGAAAATTTGAAGTATGTTTGAAACCAGGTAAACTACGCGAACCCTTACACGGTGTGTTTAATTTTTCATTTACCCATTTGATTTCATATTTTTCACTTCCGCTTAAAATTAACTTATCGACTCTGTATTTACCAACCTCCCCCTGGTTCTCATTGGCTTGCGGTCTTATGTCCTCGTTGTGAAAGTTTCCTGATTGCAGATCAAAATTATGGCTTTGTTTACTTTGCGATTTTTATTACCCGTCTATTTTTAGAGATGGTGAAATGTTACTTCTTGTTATTTATTTTTATTTATTTTTCTATCACTACGTGTTCGACCCTCCTCTCAGGGATAAAACCTGCTGTTTTCCGTTCTATGTATGCATTTTTTATTTACTTTTCTTTTTTTTTTTTTACTGTTTTGTAAGCTGAAACCTCTCAATAAAAGAGTTAAAGAAATTCCTTATTTTAACAAGGTTAAATAGAGAAACTATTCTTTTTTAACTGTGCAATCTTTTGTAAATCATTTTTGTTTTATTAAAGGAATAAATTTTGATTTCAACATTTAAATTAAAAGAAAAAGTAGTTCCGCGTTATGATAGTCAAAAACACTTTCAAAAATTAAAAAAGAAAAGTTGTTTGTTTTTTTTAAAAGAAAAAGTAAGTGTGGTGTAAAAATCAATTTCCCCCTCCTCGCGGTCAAGTTAAGAAACAAGGGCAAGTAACTCAATCAGCGTGTTAAAACGCTGAGCAGGAACGGATTGTATTTATCAAGTCTCAGAAAGTATTTATTAGTCTCATGATGAATAGCATTTTATCAACGGCAAAATCACTTTGTGTACCACATTATATCACCAACATTTTATTATGTGTTATTTATTTTTTCCTTAAGACAGTTCAACCTTTTTGTACAATATTATTTAATGATTGCCAATTGGAGTTGGTGAGTAAGCGAATGTTTCTTTGATTTGATTTGCTGTTAGTGTTAGTGTTTTAAAAAGCTTTTTTTAAGTATATAAAAATATTTATGCTGTTTTATATTCGAAGTAAAATTTTAATAATCTATAAAAATAAATAATCAATTTGAAAGTATAAAGAGACTGACTTTAAAAATAGGAAAAAGAATTATTGAGTATAGGATTAAGAAGCTAAACCTGTGTGTTACTTCGTGTTATAACCTTGTTATAAAAAAGGGTGAGGGGTGAAAATAAAACTGGAAAACCCAATGCGAAATTTTGAATAAATACACAAATAAAGGGGTACTGAAAAAGTTCTCATCCTGACTATGAAAGGATTTTTAAAATTCTGACGTTATTTTTTTGTTCTTTTTTGTGGAGAAAAGGATCGGACCGAGAACTTTTCAGCATCCTCGCCTATATCCTTTTTTTCAGTTTTTCTATTGTAATGCCCAATATTTGTTTTAACAATAAACTAGAGAGATAATACAAAAAAGTAAAAAGAAAAGGTTTTTCAAGATTTAACGCGTGTTGAAATAACTCAAACTATGAAAACGTTTTTTTTTTTTTTTTAAAATAATGAAAATAGTGAAGATTCGGAGTGAACAATATCTTTTTTTAACATGGTTGAAAAAAGGACATTTCACGATGAATGTCAATTGAATAACAATAGCATAATTCATAAAATTAAAATAAATACAGATTGGGTCAAAAAATCAAGAAAAGCTGAATTTGATTTTTTGGAAGTTTATCGTTTTTTTTATTGTTTGTTGGGAAATTTGTATTGCCTAAAAACAAAAATCCAAAAACTTTTAGATTTATGATCCATCGCTAAAGAAAGAAAGATGCTGGAAAAATGGTCGGTTCCCTACTGCTGCAGTAAGTACCGATCTCCTTTTGCTACTCTCTACTAGCTAAAATAAAAAATCTAACCGAAAATGTAGTACCGCTGTCATATATGGACAGGAGCGGCGCAGTTTTCACTTTCTAGTCTCGATATAGTCCAAAACTAAAGTGTCTACGTGGCCTTGTGGGTGATGAATTATTATTTTTTCATTCTACAACACCTTTCTTACGAACGAAACCTTGTAACCCTCACGCTACTCTATTGCTTTACATAGAAAGTATTCAGACACACTACATTCCTTATCCACCAGTTTTTACCTTCATAGCTAAGACGCACCATGCCACTCACATTGTATAAAACCACACTCATTTTTGTATTCCATTGATGAGCTTGCTTCTTTCTTTGTGGAATCGACTCTCAAGAAGATGTTTCCTTGATCACTACAGTGTGAACCTGTTTTAACTGTTATCTTTCCCATCTGTACCTCTTACCTCTCACTCTCCCATTGAGTGGCTCTTGGGACTCGTATAGGGTGAACATTATTGTTAAGAAAAATGTCCATCAACCTTTCATGGAATCCTTGTTCCTCACTGACTCCTCCCCCACCCAAGCATGTACAAAAAACATATATAATAATTTTATTTAAGGGTAGAAATCCCTTTGCCCATATTTGTTTATTATTGTTTCTTAATAAGATTCATTTTGACTTCACATTTTTATTTTTCTTCCTGTACTAGACTTGTTTGAATAATAATAGTAATAATAGAGAGAAAACTTCACAAATAATATAGATAATAATTAAAAATTAATAAAAAAATGCCATTTTATTGAATTAGTTGTTGACATGATTAATGGGGAGGACTTGCTTTGATTAGCAGTAACAAGAGCATTTATATTTGGTTGGAAATTGGTGAATCATGTCACCACAATGTATCTATCACCCTCTGCAATTTCAGGTATTTATTAATTCCTGGATAGTTCCATCATCCTCTTTGGGGACCCCTGATCTAAAAGGATTAATTTGCAATTTTATTTTGCTAAAAGAGTAGCTGAACTTTATTTCAACATTTTTTAAAGTCTCATTAAAAAAAAAAAATAAGTGCCTCTGTTTATTTCATTTTTATGTTTTTTCACAACTACTGAACTGTAATAATAATAAACCATCTTCATTTAATATCAGATTTTTATAAAAAAAAAAAAATATATACACACTTTAAACGAGAGCAGGGACTTACCTATAAGGTACTCTTCTGCCTACCTATCTAATTTTTCTTTTCATGACAATAAGAAGTAAAAAAAGATGAAAAAATAAATACAAAAAACATAGAACAGTAAAATACATCAACAACAAATCAATAAAACAATAGAGATACTTGTGCCCACTCCCCTTAAAAAAAAAAAAAAAAATTTAAAATACATCTACATACACATATACATGGTGTTGGTAAAAGCCCATAAGAAACTGACACCAACCAGACAAGAAAATACTTTAATAATTGTTTATAAGAGAAAATACAAAATTTACTGTGAATCCAATAAATATTTCCTATTATATTTTTTAAATGAGTACAAAGAAATAATTTTTTATATCAAAGAAATTGAATTTTTAATTTTATTTATTAACAAAAGGTGGGGATCAATCTATTTCTAGTGTAATATTCATTTTGCAATTTTACATTTATTATTTTTTTAAACATAAAACAAGGCATATTCCTGTTCTTCATATTTAAAAAGTTAAAAAGGCACTTAAACATATTTGGATAAATTGGATCCACATTAAAACAAGGCATCTTATTTTCTTCATATTTAAAAAATTTTTTTCTTTAAAAGCACTTTTTGGATAAATTCAAATACAGAAACATTAAAACAAGGCTGTATAGCAGTTACCTGTTCTTCATATTTAAAAAGTTATTTTTCTTTAAAAAGGCACTTAAACATATTTGGATAAATTGAAAGCGAAACAAATACACATAAACATTAAAACAAGGCTGTATAGCAGTTACCTGTTCTTCATATTTAAAAAGTTATTTTTTTAAAAAAAGGCCATATTTGGATTCTTCAAATATTTAAAACAAGTTATTTTTTCTTTAAAAAATTTTTTTTTAAAAAGGCACTTAAACATATTTGGATAAATTGAAAGCGAAACAATAACAAAACATTAAAAAACATATGTTCTGTTCTTCATATTTTTATTTTTTTTAAAAGGCACTTAAACATTTTGTAAATTTGCAATACATATGTTCTGTAATTTTTAAATTTTGTTTTGCAACAGTTCACTTATATTTTGCATAAGAACATCACCATAATTAAATGGAGAGAGAATGTACAATTCAATTAATTTTTGCTTTGATATTTCATTTAAAAAGTATTCAAATTGTAATGCAATTTTTTAGCTTACCATATGCCTTTTCAATGGCTAAGTTTACCTGCCTGGTCCAGGTCAATTCCTCATCAAAAGCAATACCTAGTTTTTTCACTTCAAACACCCTTTCAATCACTCTTTTATCGATAATAATTAGATCCAGCTGACCACCTTTAACCATTCTAAGATTACAATGAGCTCCAATTAAAATAAATCTACTTTTCTCAGCATTTAATTTTAAACACTTGTTAATAATCCATAATTTGTTCAAGATCACCATTTATGTTTGAAATGGTTTCCTTTATTTTTCATATTTGCATGAATAATACAATTGAGTATCATCAGCATACATGTGATATCTACCTCTCTCTACAGCAGCACAAAGATCACAAATGAACATTGCAAAAAGCAATGGGCCCAAGACCAAACCCAGAGGCACCTCATTTAGCATTTTATTCCAACAAGATTCCTCTCTACTCATTATAACTTTTTGGTATCAGCCACTAAGGTATGAGAAAATCTATTCAAGTGAGTCCTCACAGAATCTCGCAGCCATAAGCTTAACACATATAAGTTGATGGTTAGCACAGTTAAAGGCTTTAGAATAATCAAGCAGAACAAGAAAAACAAATTCTGAATTATCAATAGATACATATATGTCATCTAAGATTTTTAAGGGTGCTGTAATTGTATTATGTGATTGCTTATAGGCAGATTTTAAAGTGTCAAAATAATTGGTTTATTTCAACTAATTAGTCATTTGCTTTGCAATTAATTTTTCTATTAGCTTCGAAAACACTGGCAATAAACTTATTGGTTGGTAATCCGAAGCACAAGTAGAGTTGCTATTTTTAGGTATTGCCTTAACCAGTGCATGCTTCCATCTGGTTGGAAATTCTTTGTAAAATACAGAATTGTTTATTATATTTGTAAAAGCATATACAGAATGTTTAATTCCTAATTTCAAGAAAAAAAGCACTAATTCTATATCTATCCCCCACACATTCATTATTATTGAGCAAACCTCCCTTATTACTTGACACTTACTCACTTCAGAAAATAAAAAAGAGAGATGTAAGGTTTTCTTTAAAATTTCATTAATCTTGTCAGTAACAATATCATCATTTATCTCAACATTGTTATTTTTATTTTTTTTAAATGTATAATTCAACAAATTTGGATCAATATTGCAGTGATCCATGTTATTTCAACATCATCAAGGCTTTTTAAGACCTGGTGAAATTGCCTATCATCTTTAAATTTTGCATTGAAGATCTTAATCATGGCTTTTCTAATTGAGTGGGACACAGCATTACAAAGGGTTTTATATATTTGTTCAGTTTCTGGCTTTTTTGTCCACATTAAATTTATTTTTATATTTATCTCTATTACTCTGACCTTCTGGTTTCTTTCCTGAGGTTGTAATCAACACAAATTGACTTAAAAACAGACAATTTTGTGAAATAGAATTAATAATATTCAAAAAGTTAATAATTAAAATGTAAAAATTTCAGAGGTATAGTCGGTTACAAAATGCCAGTTTTTTCAAATATACGCTAAGTAACTCTTTTTCCCAAGTGAACCATCTGGAGATCAAAAGACTCACAACACCTGAAACTACAAAGCAGCTTCTCGGCTATCAATACATTGTTTCTTTTTTCTTGTAAATAACATTTACTTAATATATAAAAATTATGTCAGATACATATAGTTTTCTATGAACATTTCAAATAATTGTTTACTATGAAAAGATATAGAAGTTCTCTATTACTAATTCT